GTATTCAGTAATTATAGTGCTATTCGAAAAATTAAAAAATAACAGTATCAAATTATAAAATATAAAAATAATTTTTCGAAACACGCGATTCCCGAAAATATAACGTGGAAGAAATAATTTTAAATTGTAAAACTATTCTATAAAACCGATGTAATGATTGTCAATGACCTATATGCAAAAAAACGCAATGTAAAGGAGTTGAATTTCCAACCCCAACAGCCTTCCACATACAGAGTCTGTAATTTAGCCACTTAGGCAGACTGGCGAAAATATCTCCAATACCGCGGATTTCTCTATTGCTTAGTTTAGTTCCGTATATATATATATATATATATGTTTTTTGATTCTGAGCGAAGTGAGAAATATATTGGTTTTACTACGATGTGTATGTGTGTTTTTTTTTTTGTCGACGAGTATTCTACGAGAAAGCTTTTTCCAACCAAAAACTATACAGGAATCTCTCTTATAGCACTTATGATTTAATTGGTTCACCGAGGATGCCATTTTTTGATTTTTCTAGTAGTTTTATTGTTGGTATGGTTTGTATTTTGTAGTGATGAGCGGAGACGACTAATTTGACTGTCGATTGTTAATCGATAGTTTGAAAACAATCGAGAGGTCTATTCGTTGAATAGGTGCTATCAGATGCTGAACAGGTGTTATCAATAGAATGAACACTAATCGATAGTCGATAGGTTTTAGAAACAATCCAATGAATAGATAGTTTGAACTATCGAGTCGACGAATTATGTACTCTGCTCAGAATAGTCTGTTTTATGCGTACAGATATAAATATAAATTACTCTTTATACCCTCCCATATAACTTCACTTCTAAAATAATAACACACCCATCAGCAGTATTAGCTTTTTTTCAACATTAGATTAATATAATATAATTATACTATATTTTATATAATTTAAATATTCTTGCTCCGCAAAAACTCGTTCTGATACACATATTATGTGAAATTATTATAAATAATGATATTAAATTATTATGAAAAAATACAGTTTTATATCAGAGAAATAGGAATATGGAATGAGGAGGTTCTTCGTAAGATGCATAAACACGCTTAGAGAAAGGAAAATGAATGAGAATTGGACATTTAATTATAGGAATGACGCTTGGGTAACGGCAATAATAACCGATGGAAGAATTCATGTCTTTCCATGGGAGAGGAAGACTAAGGACGTCTCCGCACACCGGAATAAATAATATGTACGCAGAGCTTAAAAAAACTACAAGCGACGGCGGCAGGTGGAAAGAAACATAAACAATAAAAGATGGTCCTGGAAAAATTCCAATTTCTACACCTGGCCTTTTTTTATTTGGTCATGACCATTGGCCATTTTCGTGTTTCGCCATATTTTCCTCTAGTCATTTTGATTAAAGGCTATTTTTATACACGGCTATTTCTGATTTCGCCATGCGTTATCGCCGGCCACCCTTTCTTCGGACCAAAGATATTATAAAGGCTGTGACTGGAGAGGCGATCGCAAAAATCTCGAGTTTACCGAGACTATTGTCCATATTATTACGCATTCAGAGTGCGGGTTTCTTCTTCTATTTATCTATATCGACATTATAGAAACGAAAAAAAGAAACGATACACACGATACTCGGACGCGGAATAATAATATGTATTATTATTATTATTATTATTATTACATTTGTTCGTGCAGTAAACGGCGGCCAACACAATAATGGAATATAATATACGCGGGCATTGAAATCTCCGCGATTAAAAAAAAAAAAAAAAACCCTTTTTAAAGAGACGTATTTTACAGAACGAGTCTTTTTGTTTTTAACAACACTCGTAATATATTGTTTTTCAACTATAGCGTCTGCGTATTATAGTACGAGTAATATTACCTTTAATATAACATTCGTATCTTTGAGTATTGTTTTGTTATCAATAATATTTTGCCGTACAGAGTGAACAGCGTGGATATTTCGAGTATATATACTAATCCCAATAAAACTTAACCCAACCTCATGGGCGATAAAACACTGGAGGGGGGAGGGGGCGTTAATGAGTGTTATTTTATCCGCGTAACAGAGGAAAACCAAAAATCAATACTGTTATTTAACACACCCGTTTGCTTGCGGTTTTGTTTGAAAATCGTATGCGGAAAAAAATGTCCAAATAAACTATACTACATTTCTCGATACCTATGTATAACTTCTTATTCGATCCACACGAGAACTGATTTTTATATTATTCGTCAAAGAACGCCGAGTCTATACAATAAGAGTACATATGGGTAGGTAATTGAAACATTTTTTCCCCCTCCTCTCTCGACGAATAACAACTGTGGCGTAATACTTATATTATACTTATATCCCGCCAACGAACGAGAGGTTGAAAATCCAGAAATTGTTCGCATACAATATTATTTCATTGACCGTTTTCTTATAAGATGCGGCGGCGGCGGCGGCGGCGGCGTCGTCTGTGAAATTTTATTAACGTCGTAAACCGGCCCCGCGAGGATTTGGCGCGCAACAAATTTTGCGACTACAATTTCGATTGTCTGTTGAGATCCTCTTTTTTTTTACCCGTTTTTCAATACTCGTCCGCATCCGTTGTTTTTTTTTTCATTCGATTTCTCGTTTTTTTTTTTTTTTTTTGTGCCGGTTTAAATTTTATTCTCGTCGGCTGCAGCACTTTATACGTTGTTCGGAAGACCGCCACCGAGGACCTTTTCGGAATGTGCCGACGGACGTGTATAATATATATAGGTACCTATATCTATTAATATCATTATATTATCTCTCCCTACCCATAGAAAGAAAAAAAAAATACCCGTCAGCACCAGAACTGCGCTACTAGATTCGAATTTTCTATCAGCCTGCAACTTGTTGCAGTTAAAATATTTTATACATATATTTTTTTTTTTCATATTGGATCTAAAATAGTTGTAGTTGTCCACAGATTTTAATAATATATTGTATAATATATGCTTCATTTAATTAAATTGTATTCGCAAAACAACCATTCACTAAGTCTATCCCCATTTCCTCTTATATTTGAAAGTCTAATATCTTTCCCATCTTTCAGATTTACAAAGTATCTTATATTCTTCCAGAACTAATGTGAAATCGAGTTTTATCAAAATATAGGTAAAGCAGTTCTCGAGACTTTGCTAACATACAAACAGACGGTGATATTTATACATACAAATTTTAATTCCGTTTTTTACATTGATGATGAGTCCGCAGGAGGTATTTAATACACAGACAGTTGAGAAGGGGTTGAAAGTTTAAACCCCCAATAGCCACATGCTTGTAACTCATACCGTGCGCATAGACAAATAATTTCCCACCCTTGGATTTATTTGGAGAGTTTGTAGGCGTGGTTCAAAACTAAAAAAAAAAAACCGTCCTCTCTTGCTTTGTCATGGTGAAATCCGACCAAAATTTTATCACTTCAACCCGACTACAAAAACAAAAAAATCTGTAACTCTCGAAATTAACCTTATTCGATCCGCAGAGCTCCGCTAAAAGTGCCCAAAAGTAACGGAAAAAATATATATACATACTACAAACAGTAAACACAAATACAGTGCAATAGTCTCTTTTTCGGGCAAAATCCGACAGAAAAAAAAAAAACAGACGCTAACATCGCAGGAAACATCGATGTTATTCGTACATCTCTGCCATTATTATACACCTGTCCGGGACCACACATAATATACAAGATCACCACCCGACTCACACGCACGCATACAGGGTGGTTTTTTCGACATCACGAAAAAACGATTGTACTCGCGGTACGAAGATTTTGGATTTTTTCCGCCGTCATCGTGGAATAGAAAAGAAAAAAAAAACGTTATTCTGGATTCTGAACGTTTTCAAAAAAAAAAATCGCCCAATTTTCGCACGCATATATCGTAACACCGTGCACACACAGCAAACGGATGAACCTCAATCCGTACATCCGAGTTGTGCAAACTTGCGATTTCATTGCGTCCGCTCCGGCCTCTCCCCGCATCTTTTGCCGTTTGAAATTTTTCGAAAATCGTCGCGTCGCCGTATACGAATAAATACGTCCGGGAGAACGTGCTCTTGTTCTGCGCGTCGCCACCGTGCCGAAATGTGTTTTCCGACGCGTGTGCGACACGGCAATACGCCCGGCGAACCTATCCGCCGTATCCGTAGCGCGGGAAACAAGGGCGAGGTTTTCGACACCGAACAAATCGAATTTACCCCCGGCAATTATCGCAATACGTCGCGGAATCGCGCTGGCACGGGGTTTACCAATCGGTCGCCGGTTCGCGTGACGCGATGGATCGCCCTGTATGCTGTGTACGCGTTATCATTATTATTATTATTATTATTATATTGTGGTACCTGCAGCATACGTTATTATTATTGTGTACGAGCGCGGACGGCGAAACGGTCTTGCGGCGCGGCGGGGTCGGCGGCGGCGCACAGACTCCCGGGCCCGGGCACGCATACGGGAAACAGGTTTTGAACAAACAAGAAATAAAACATTAAAAAAAAAAAAAAAAAAAATAATAATAATAATAATAATGAGAAAGAGAACACACATAACATATTATACAGAGAATATAATACTGCCGGTGCCTTGGGTATTTCTACGAACTCTCTTTCGCCCATACCGCGTCGCGCCGCCGACTGCGCCTCCGCGCGTACAGTGTGCCGCACGGGGACCGCCGAGAAAAACACCTTACCTCCCTGCCGCCCGCCACCGCCACCGACCGCCCCGCCCGTATAAAAACGTTATGCGCCTATATTATTATTGTGTACACGAATATCGGATACGCGTACCTACGTAGATACATACAAGTAGCCGTATAATATAATAACTATTTTATTTTTTTATTTTTTTTTTTTCGTTTTCCTTTTTAACCGCGACAGAGGAGCCTTCGCCGGGAGAACCGCCGCCGCGCGCCGCTCGTCTAACGGTCCGCCGAGATTTCGACTGGGGGAAAACGCTATCGACATCCCCGGCGCGGACGGATCTATCCCGGCGGTGTTTTCATTTAATCCGAAAAAGAAAAACGCCAAAACCACAGCTGTGGGCACTGTCGATAATAACAGTGTTCGAAATAGTTTACAGACGTACTGCGATTGTTTTAGATCAATTATCGTATGATCGGTGTCATCCGTAACCGGGTTTTCGGTGTGCATGGGATCACAAACGAGAACGACGAACATTCCAGAATAATAATTTGTTGAATATTACCGTGTTATCTCGTACACTCTCAGGGGGTAACCCGCTCACCAATAATAATTGTAGTTGCCAAACATCCCTATGCCTTAATAAGCCGTATCTATGTGTTCTAAAATCGATTGTTTAGAGCGATACATCGAGGAATCGGGAAAATACGTTAGTAGATTTTTTTTTGTTTTTTATTTTTTTTTTTTTTGATAACACTATCCAATAATATGCGCAAGCGAACTTCTGACTGATACGATATTATAGTTTTTTTTTTTTTTAATTATTTTTTATTATTATTATTTTTGACAGCTGCGCGCACGTTATACACTCGAACCATTGACAATTAAACTGTATTCAATTTTTTTTTTTTTTTTCATATATATATATACCTGCATATAATTTTGACAGTATGGTTGCTTTGGGGATATTTTGTTTGCCGGTGGTTTTTTTCGCGGGATTTGTGCATTATTGTGTTTCGTTTCGATTTTCGATCACCGTGAAAGTACCTATCATTGTAATATCGCGCAGCGCTCGAATCGATAAAATTACATCGGCAGAGTACACCATCGAGTAGAAAATGGTCACGTATATTGGGAAATGCATTTAACGTAGTAAAAAAAAAAAAAAAATGAATATAATATATAAATTATTCATTATTTATTCGACTTCTCGTGTATTTTTGTATTAAACAGTAATATTCGCAATTGGGTTTTTTTTTTTTTTTTTTTAATAAAACTACTCGTAATTATAAACACGATGAAATAGTATAATAAAAAACAAAAATGATAATATTTTCGGTACGGATTATAAAACGTCTGTATAATATTTCGATTAATGTTGTTTACGTCATTAAAATTATACATACATCGCGCATTCATGCGTACCGACAATTTAGGTATTTTAAAAGTAAATTAACATCAATAGTGACCTGTCTCAATAATCGTTACGACTTTTCCAATTTTATCGGTTCAAAAATCATTTCGGGCATTAGCTCGTATAGTCGTCCTTCCACCGCTGTTCCAGTAAAACAATCAAGTCGGCGAGCTCTAAAAAAAAAATAATAATAATATGGAAGAGCGCCGAGAGACCTCTCTGATTCAAGTACATCGTGATTATTATGTCGTCAGTTCATATTTTTAACGAATTAATAAAGGAGGCAAAATGTATAGGTAATAATTATAAAGTACGAGTGATGACTAGAATAACAGAGAATTTCCAAGCATTGGAATTTTTGTTTAGCGCAGCCGTTAAAAAAGACGGGCTATAGTAGAAAGAAATTTGTTGAAAAAGCCAAATCTGTAATTTTATGTTGTGTGTTTTTGAATATTTATTTTTCAACACTTGTTAAAGTGTTTTATGCCTTTCGGGAACTTATTTTCGAATAATTCCTTAAAAACAACATTTATCAAAAAGAAGACCATTAAAAAATATTAAAATTGAATTTTGAATGTCAAAGTTTTAGTGTAAATTGGAATGTCCAATTAAATATTATCGAAAATTTCGATAAATAAATGTAATGTACTAATGTACTTAATCGATATAAATCAAAAGCAAAAGTCTCATTTAAACGAAAATGTTTTATTAATTTAATCATGGTACATCGGTATGACATAAAGCTAATTAAATTTGGTCGGCAATTGCAAATTGTATTGTTTTAGACGTTTTTAAATAACACATTTTCTTAGTGTATATTTTAGTGTTTTAAGGCGCATAAGTGCTCGCGTATTTAGTGCATTTCCAGAACTACACGTCACTATCACTACCTAGTGATAATTTACGAAGCCCGCAATGTGTAGTCGCACGTATTAATTGTAATTTGTATCGATTTAAGCAGGTTACTTGGGTGCAGCGATACTACGACGCGTAATGAAAATATGAGCAGCCTACGAATATTATAAAATTTATTGTAAATAATCAACTAACAATAGTAAACTATTTATATTCGATTTTCAATTCAGAATAGTAAGACGTTAAATGTAATGCTCGATTCGATTCGACTAGATTGCGCGAATGTCGCGACGACATTTCGAATTTAAAACGATAATATATTATTATTATTGTTATTGTAATCTCGATGTGTGCGGCAATACGATATAAATTATTACAGTCAGTCGCATTCATGTAGGTAAGTTATATGTCCGTTTAAGGCGTTTATGGGTTTGACGACGACGGTTATATAGTGCATACATAAATATTAAATATATAATAGTTTCTATATTGTGACGGCTAAAAAACCAGCACGTTCGTCTCCTTCTTTTTTTTTCCTCATACTTTCCGTGTATTTCACCGTATCCAATACCTACGCGTATCCACGTAACCCCTCCCACTCTCCTTTGGTCGTGTTTTGCGTTAAACGGTTCGACAACGTTTTTCCGAATTTTCTTCAATTTTTTTGAAATTTCAAAATTGTTTTCTTATTTTTTAATGGCCAACTTAACGGTGAAAATTTTCCACACTAGTCTACTGCGTGAAATCCGTTTAAAGGGAAACAGTTTGGCCGTTTTTGTGGAAGAATATGACGTTTTAGAGTTTTACACCAATAACGAGCGGTGGAAAATTAGACGTATGTCCTACCGTATGACTTATTATTAATAAGCTAGAAAACGTGTCAAAAATGCATACATATTATTTACAAATTGAAAACTGACATTGGGAAGTTGATCTAATTTCTAGTGACTGACAGTTTATAGTATACAATTTATACTATTCGAAAGATTTCGTTAGTTTAGATGTTAAATTCTAATATATTTTTTTTTTTATTTTTTTTTTCCATGATCAAATAGTTTTATTCCAAAAAACTACCGTTCAAAAGCGATCAACTACCGAATAGCTCGGTAGTAACTATTCAGTTATGCCCACCGCTAATATAGTTTCCCGCTGCTTTTTTGGTCTATATTATAAAACGTATGCAAAATAGGTGTTTTCCAACCATTTAGGTAAAAACCGCGGAGAGAAAAACGGATAAAATTACATTTAAAAACGAATAGAAAAAAAAAAATACAAGAAAATAATAACAATTCCTAAGAAATTAACATACCTAATAATATACACAATACGGTTAACCGGAGATCAAATTTTTGTGTCGAAAAAAAAAGTTTTTCGGGCTTACGTGTTTTGTTTCTATACATATATGGACAGACGCAAATAATAATTAGGATCGCGTTACAATTATTATTACTATATAATTTCTTGTTTAATGTGAAAAAAAAATAGAATACGCCATCCGGTTTCCGTTGAAGCGAGTGAAATATTCGACCGGACTAAAAAAAAAAAAAAAAAAAATGATTTATCGTGAAAAATGTATTATTTTATATTATACACGAAATGCCACGTCGTCGGTGGGAAATTATTTTCAAAAGACCGCGTCCTACGGAAATCGTCGGTCAACGGATTATTTTAAACAATATAAAAAAATTATTGTTTTTCGGAAAAACTATTTGAAATCTAGAACAAACTGTACAAATATTGTATCCTCAGGCGTTTTTTAAGGTGTGCAAACCGGAGCGTTTTTATCGAGTGTTTTCTGAGAGAAAAACGTATCGCAACAGAGCCGGATTAAGAGATTGGGGGGAATAAGAGGTCTTCTTCCCGAGGCTCAACAAAAAACAAAAAAAGAGATCCCTAGAAATTGGTCGACATTGTAATTTTTCTGAAATTCATACGAATAGTTACAATTTAAAAAAAAAAATACAATTTCATGAACACCTACAGTATTTGTGAAAACTAGTAAATATAATTGTTTATTTATTTGACATGACATCACGACGTATATTTCTTACGCGTAGGTATAAAAAAAGGTTTTTTTTCTCCTCCGTACAATTTTGGCTGCCGAGAATGGAATAGTCTCGGGCCAATCGTTTCATTGATCCGGTTATGCGTCTTAGAAGAATAAAAAAAAAACCTAGCAATCAAAAACCAAAAGAGAAAAAAAAAATACACGACGAGCAGGCATACGAAATGCCTAATTATAAATACGGTATTTTTTTGAGTCGTTAAATTTAAGTGTATCGCGTACAGTCTCTACACGTAATAATAATAATACGGTAGTATTGGGAAAAATAAAAAATCCTGGCGCCTTTGGCGTCCGGACGGTTTCCGGGTTCGGTACCGAGAGCGACGCGACGTCAATAACAATAATCGGACCACGATCGTCGGATGCCTCTCGATAATAATTATCGTTATTCCGAATATCGGTGGCCGCGGCCTTATCATTAGGTACGGGTAATAATATTGTTATTGTTGTTGTTGCGTCGTATTATTATAATGATAGCGTATTATATTATTATTATATTATAACGATATTGTAATAACGCGATCCCGCGGCTGCCGTCGCGCGTCCGGCACGATAAAATAATAATAATATTATTAAATATTCATTATCATCGTTTCCGAACACGCGGCATCGTAATAGTATCGCGTGCGTGCGCGCCGGTGTCGTCATCAGGCGGACTACGAGCGCGTCCTCGGAGCGGACCGTCGCGGTCGTCGTCGTCGGGGGAAAAAAACCGAACTCTTCGGTCCGCCGTCGCCGCCGCCGCCGTCATCGTCCGTCGCCGCCGCGGTCGGCTTATTTACGGCCTCCGGACACACGTGGAGTTCAAGGTGACTGCCGGGCTTCGGTCTCCGGTCGGGGGAGAGACGACGGCGACGAATGGAGGGGAGGGGGTCGCCTCTGTACTTGTGTGTGTGTGTGTGTGTGTGTGTGAGCGTGTGATTTCTGGACCGACGTGTATTTCATTATAATAATAATAGTAACAATAATAATAATAATAATAATAATAATATTACTAATAATAAATATTATACAGAGCGATTTCGACACACAGATAGGTAGACGGGCAGGTGGGTAGGTAAAGGTAATATAAGACGGCGGCGTATTTAGGATTTTGCGGCGATCAAATTCGAAAATTGTGAATACCTCGGAAAAAAGAATCGTTTATGTGTTACGATGTGATATTATTCGTCCGGGCAGAAAGAGACCGTCGTCGGGGCCACGGAGACGACGATGGCACGACCGTGTACGTCGGGATCTGCGTCTGTTGGGGGTGGAGGACTCGGAGGAGGCGGCGAAAAACGCGAGAACGACGCGAAGGTGTGGTAGCTGTGGTTACGAGCCTACACGGCTCACATTAATACTCTACCCTAAAATTATCATTGAAATCAAATACCTAACCGCGTAGGTATTTGATTAGTAATTATTTACTTTATTTACCATGTAAGTATTAATCTAACCTAACCTTCATACTATACATGTGGTTCGGATAAAGAGTTCGGTTTAAACACGAAAATACACGGGTACGTTCACGTTTTTTTTTTTTCATTTATATTAACTAATCAACACGTTAAACTGATAATTTTTCTAGCAAAAAAGTAACGAAATTTGAATTTTAAAAAAACAACAGTAATATAGGTGCAACATTTTTTTATTTTTATTTTTTTTTTTGCTATATTCAGCAATCGAGTGGAGATTTTAATACTAAAAAAAGAGTTGTCGGCGGGCGGGTAGGAACACGTGAAATTTCAAGAGGGTATTCATTTTTAATTTTATAGAACGACGTACTATTTTTAGAGAAACAAATCGTTAATACCTAATTTTTATTTTATTTTTACTGTTTTAATAGGTATAAATTTAATTTAGTCAAGTGGCAAGGTGGTGGATATAAAAATAAAAACAATACGAGAAAAAATTTGAATTTGATAAGATTTGA